AACAATTGAAATTTCAACCCAAAAAAATAAAAACATACTTTTAAGTTGTTGTTATCGCCCACCTTCTGGAAAAATTGAATGCTTCAACACATATTTAAATACTAATATTAGAAAAAAAGCTGACCACGAAAATAAATTAATCTATATAGTTGGTAATTTTAATTTAAATTGTTTTGATTATCACGTCAAGCAAAGCACACAAAAGTTTTATAACGAATTATTCAAAAATGGAGCGTTTCCTTTAATAGATAGACCAACCAGAATTACCGAAAAAACGGCTTCAATAATTGATAATATTGTAACTAACGATGTTTTAATGAATCTTTAAAAAAGGGTATTATTAAAAGTGACATTTCCGATCATTCCCCATTTTTTTCTCTATAAATATAAAACCAAAAGTACCTAATGAAAAAACAACCTTTTTAAAACGTATCTATAACGAAGCTAATTTATTATCGTTTCATGAAAACTGTCATTGCTTCATTGAAAAGATATAAACACTTCATCTGACGTAAACTTTACTTACAACCAATTTTTTAAATCTTTCTATGAGGTATATGATATCACCATGGATTACAAACACCCTAAGAAAATCATCAAAAGTCAAACAAAAGTTATACATTAAATACCTTAAAGAAAAAACGATAGAAAGTAAAACCAACTACAAAAAATATGCGAGAGAATTTGAAAAAGTTAGAAAGAACCTTAAAAAAAAATACTATTCCGATTTACTTATGCGATACAAATGTGATTTAAAACGCACATGGCAAATTTTAAGAGAAATTACCGGTAAAACAAAAATTAAATCATGCGCTCTGAAAAATGGCATTAAAATTAATGGTGATATCTCTTATGATCCACGTAAAATAGCAATCGAACTAAACAAATTTTTTGTCACGATCGGACCTAATTTAGCAAGAAATATACCAAATATAAAGAAAACAATTGATATCTCATCTATTGCATTAGCTAATCTTGATTTTTTAAAGTTATCGTTTGAAGAATTTGATACAGCTTTTAGTGCGCTAAAACCAAATAAAGCAAGTGGCTTCGATGATATAAAATGGCAATGTAATAAAAAATTCATACAAGGTTATAAAAGACGTGCTTTTTAATATTTTTTCACTTTCAATCAGAGAAGGAATTTTTCCTGATCAATTTAAAATTGCAAAAATCACACCGATATTCAAAGGAGGAGACTTAACAAATATCAATAACTATCGCCCTATCTCTGTTCTTCCAGTCTTTTCTAAAGTCTTAGAAAGAATTATTTATAACAAAATTTACACTCATTTAACTAACAACAATTTATTATTTAACCACCAGTATGGATTCAAAAAAAACAAATCTACAGAACACGCGATTCTCCAGCTAACACGGAGTATCACAGAATCTTTCGAGAAATCCGAATATACTTTAGGCATCTTCATCGACCTATCAAAAGCCTTTGATACAATAGATCATAAAATTCTTTTTAAAAAACTCAAAAATTACGGAATAACTAGAAATGTTTTAAAGTGGATAAAAAGTTATTTAAGTAATCGCAAACAATTTGTAACCATTGACGCTTCTTCTCCAATAAGTTTGTTAGAAATTACTTGAGGTGTTACTTGTGGTAAGAGGTCCGAGAATAGATCCTTGTGGTTGATCCTCAAGGATCTATTCTCGGACCTCTTCTTTTTCTTATATATATCAACGATCTCTATAAAGTATCCAGATTAAAAACAATCATGTTTGCAGACGATACAAACTTATTCTTATCTCATACTAACATCACTACTCTGTTTTAACTTATGAATGTAGAATTAAACAAGATTTCTTACTGGTTTAAATTAAATAAATTATCGCTTAATATTCAAAAAACAAACTGGACTCTCTTTCACCCGCCCTCTAAGAAAAAACTACTGCCTTATGAAATGCCATACCTTTTTATTGATAACATCGAAATAATTAGAGTAAACGTTACAAAATTCTTAGGTGTTTATATTGATGATAATCTTTCATGGAAAAATCATATTGAAAATTTATATAACAAAACTTCAAAAAGATTAGGAATTTTATATAAAGCAAGAAACTTTTTAAATAAAAAAATTTTAACTCAATTATATTTCTCTTTTATTCACAGCCATATAAATTATGCAAACATTGCATGGGCTTGCACCAAAAAAAGCAAACTTGAACCTCTTTATCGTCATCAGAAGCATGCAGCACGTTTGATACATTTTAGTGAACGTCTTACTCATGCAAAGCCTCTATTAAAAAAAATGAACGCCTTAAATGCATATCAACTCGATGTTTATAATACTCTTTGTTTTATGTTCAAATGTAAAACTAATTCTTCACCAGTTTCTTTCCATGATTTGTATATGTCAAAAGATAAAAATAAATACTTTTTACACAATAACAATTTTATTAAGCAGCCATTTTTTCTAACTAACTTGAGCAAATTCTGCATTACTTCTCGCGGACCATTCTTATGGAACAAAATTGTCTTAAAAAACTTTTCTCAAGATTTTATCCAACAATGTAACTACAACTCTTTTAAACGAAAGTTAAAAGAATTAATTTTTACAATTGACGATCTATCAATTTACTTTTAATAATTTTAAATAGTTTTGCCATTTTACCTCCACTTATCAAAGAACTATTATTATTTTATAATTTATATATTTACCAAGAATATGTATCAATATATATGACAATTTATATGTTTATTAAATTATATAGTATTTATATAACTGATCTTTATATTTATAACGGGTTTTCTGAATATTTTTAATTTGTTTGTATTTTTTTTTTTGACACGACCTGTGACGTGACCGTAAGGTGACAGTTACTAAGTGAATATTGTTTGTGAACAAGGTCTTCTACGAGTCCCCGCGTTCTTTTATTTCTTATTTACGATTTTTTTTTTTTTTTGTTATTCTCTTGTAACTTCTATATTTTATTTTTTAATTTGTATATTTATAACGGAAAGTTGTTTAAAATGTAATAAAGAACAAAAAAAATATATATATGGCTTGAAATAATGACTGGCCAATTATAGTAATTGTAATAACTAAAAAACCATTCATTTCAACATGTGATACCCGTTATGCCAAATAAATTATTAAATTAAATTTAAAAATGTTGACAAATTAACTTTTAAACTTTAAAAAAATTTCATTATCTAAAAGTTCAGTTTTATTTAACTAAAAATGTATAACTTAGTATAACTTATCTGTTCTGTATTTTCTTTATGTGCTAAAAGAGCAATGTTTAAAAGTAAAAACTTATTCCGACAGCAATTCTAAAGGAAATTATGATTATCTTAACATATTCTTTATTTTAAAGTTTCAGAAGATTTGGATTTCCGATTCAATAAACTTCTTTGCGTCCGACGAGATTTTATCATCTATTTATGTCTACGAGATAAGAATAATTAATAATAACGGAAATGGCAAAAATTTTAGGTTAGGAAAGGCTGTTTTAAGTTATGTTAGAAAAGTTAGGAAAATGGAGTCTAAACTTTGCTTCCATGAAATAATGATTTTTATTTTTAAAACAACAACGACAAAAAATCAAAAGTATTAAATCTACATTAATAACTTTACGTTTTCGAGTTGTTTGCATTTAAGTTTTTATTTTTACTTTTATTTTCTTATCAATAATATTGTGCAACAACGAAATTTAATTTGTTGAGATTTTTTTTTTTTTTTGATGGTATTAAAAAGGTGATGATTTAAGCATGTGTAGATGATTGTGATATTAAATATAATTCTTCTATGATCTCTCGTGCGCAAGGTGATGATTGATTAAAAACATTTTTTTTAACTCTCATTTCAATTGTCTAACGCAACGTCCAATTGTTGAAAATTGTCAGAATTCTAAATTTAACGAGTGAACACACTTTAATAAGTTTAAATCATGTGTTAATATCAAAATAATTTTTTTCATTCACAGGTTTTTGCTTTTTATAAGAAACAAATTAAATTTTATTAGTCGACTGTAGTCACGTCAAAATTGATCTTTTTTCGTTTTTATAAGTTTTTTATTTGTGTTTTTTAACAGCTCGTTAATCGGCGTGAAAAATTTAATTATTTTGAATGTATTTCGTTACTTCGTATCTTGTTACATAATTGACGTTCTAACAATTTTATAAATGATTTTGTTAGCAGTATTTCGCTACGTTTAATTCAGTTAAAAAGTATTTAAAACGGGTCTATAAAGTATCATCTACATTTGTTAACCTTCATAAAGTAACACCTAACTAGTTTTGAAAAAAAAACACAATATTTTGCTCTAAAAAAATGTATACTGAATAACTACCCAGTGGGAAATTGGCTAACGAGTAGCTAGCTATAATCGTTACGATAAAGACAGCGATTTGGCGATTAACATTTTGTTAACCTTGATAAAGCAGTTTTGTGGGTGACAATAGCAATTTATTTTAATTTAATTTTTTAGTTTCTTTTATACTCTTAAGTATTATCATCAACATCACTTCGAGTTTAAAAGTTCCAATGTATGTACTCAGAAGCTAATGTAATGTATGTACTCAGAAGCTATTTGGTCCAAATAAGACATCTTTTTTAACATTTTGCCTTTTTTTCTTAAAACTTATTATTGACATATTTTAAAAAATTAAATTCCATAGTATTAAAAAAAAGTTTTTGATTTTTAATATTTAAAAGTTGAAATAAAATCATTTAATAACAATAAGAAAAAGTTTAGATAACTTTTGATTAACAATGTTTAATTACAATTATTTTTAGATATTATGTCACAATAATAAAATTTATTTTGGTATGAAATTTTATTGTTAAAAGTAGACGGAAATAAGTATTGCACGGTTTGGCGCGCACGCAAATATTATTAAGAAATTAAAGATTAATACAAATTATACTGAAAACATCAAATTAAAATTTGCAACTTTTTACAAAGTTATTATGTATTAAAGTAAACAATTTTTTTTTTGCGTCAGAAACGTAAAAACCTAATCTGTTTACGCGCTGACGTTATATAACTCGTTTCAATTTAAACTGAAATGTTTAACTGTGAATTTATGATGAGTAATCAGTTGCATCCTTCGTTGATATTGAGCATTAAACGAAAGTTAAAATTATGCATTATTTTAAAGTTATTTACTTTTTAAGTCGTAAATTTGTATTTTTTTGGAAAACTAAAGCAATTATCTTTGTAATTTCTTTGCGGTGTGAAAAAAACAAGAAGATAGTGCGTCACATCGGTTGATAGATAAAGCAGAATACCTTTAAGTTATTGTTTCAATGGAATAATGAGGTAATTAAAATTCCACCAAATCAATATCTGTATGCGATAGGCATGCTGCTTAACAGTGTTACATTTTAATTTTGAAGTTATTATTTTCTGGTCAAATGAAATATTGGAAAAAGCATATTAAGTCAAATTATAACGGATAAAAAAGTTTATTGTAAAAGTTTTAAAAATGGAATTAAGTGACGAAAGTACTTTTGTGTTAAAGGAACATTTTATTGCTTTATTTGGTAAAAAGAAAGAATGTGTAGAAATGCCTCAACCACAATCTCAAATTAACGTTCATAAAAGAGTATTAACCCCGAAAAATCGAGAGTTTTTTACATTAAAAAGAAACAAAACTACAACCCTTTCAAATGATCTAAATACAGCTAACATGTTAAAAGATATTAAACGATCTTCTTCTTTTAATATAAAGCGGTCGGATGAGAAACATTTGGACATAAAACATTTGGATATGAAATTTTTGGATGTGAAACGTCCTAGTATATGTTCCAAAAAACTTACCGATATTACGGAAACTAAAGAATACAAAGACATTTACACGGCAAATTTAAGACTTTACAGTTCAATCATTGCTAAGGTACTTAAAGTTCAGTTATTTTTATTTTAAATTTATTTTTCTATTGTTTTTTTTTTTAATTTTTATTATCTACCCTTAATATAGGTAATATGTATTATGAATAGGAAAACCTCTTCTCCCTCCTCACTAAAAAAAAAATAATTTTATTCAACTTTATTTAATTAACTACTTATTAATTTTTAATTTAATTGTTATAAGGAAAATTGTTAAAAGTAATATTAAAAAACATTTTTTATTATAATAATATTCTCAAAAGGTAAGAATATTATTCAAAAAATATATATTTTGAATTACTTAGATACAAAAATTAATTACTTAATAAAAAATGTTTTTTTGGTCTCAATTTTTTCAGTAAGTAGGACTTTATTATAGAAGTTGTAACACTCGCAAGCAAATTTTAGTTAGAATAAGTTCCTTTACATATTTAATAATAAAACAAGAAGAAGACTATAGTCTTATCAAAAAGTCCCGATATTGTCGCCGTCAACTTATATTACAAAGATAAATATAATATTATTAAATACAGATGTTTACAAGTGTTAAATACAATAATGTATAAATAAATAGTAATATAAGATTTTATCACAAGATTATAAGATAAATAAAATAAAAATAAAAAAAAGTGTTTTTTTAATTTTATTTTAATTAATTTTCTTCTCACAATCATTAAACCTAAAAATCTACCCCGCCTCATCCTTTATTAGATGGTCTGAATCCACCTAATCAAAAAATCTAAAAATTAACCTCCCCTTCCTTATTAAATGGTCTGGATGTGTCACACAGTTCAATCTGAAAAAACCTCAATATACTAAATTGATCAACAAAAACAAACGTCTACTAAAAAGTGGAAATAGTTCTCCAATCTCCTACTGAGACCTAAATTGTTTTTAATCAATCATTTTTTTTTGACCGATTTATATTGTTCTCGTTTTTGATCGATTTATGACGTTCTTGTTTTTGACCGATTTTGTAGATTTTTATTTTAAATTTTTTAAATTTAGGGATTTTAAAAGTTTAATTTTCAACCTAATATAGGCGATGTTCGTTTCAACCTATTAATCTTTTAAAGGTTTTTTTATTAAAAAAAAAACAGACAACAAATCAATTATAGACAATTCTGACGTCATAGTAAAATAGTCTGCCGCCGTGGGCTTCAGTACATTAGTATTGGAGTACATTCAGTACATCACCAATCTTTCACACATTTGTGGAATTTGCTGACACAATTATAAAAAGAATTCTTTAGAAATGACTACTTATGGTTTTTTAAAAGAAAAATTTTAAAAGTTTAATGTAACTATTATTTTAGCTCACTTATTTTTATAGTTTTTTAGGTGAAACTTATTACCGTGTCTGCATTTAGAAATCAATTCCGATTTTTTGTTTATTAAACATTCTTGGTTTGCATGTGTAATTATTTCATATTTTATTCATTTTTACTATTATTTCAATGTATATATATATATATATATATATATATATATATATATATATATATATATATATATATATATATATATATATATATATATATATATATATACAAACAGGCTGATTAAGTTTAGCTTCAATTCAAACCAACCTAGAAGTGCATACCCAAAAAAACTAGTTGTAAAGTTGATCGAAAAAACTGTAGATCGAATATGCAGTAGGTTGAAAATTTAGTTGATTGAAAATACAGTCGGTTAAAAATTCAATCGATCGAAATCTTATTATGTTAAAAATTTATTTATTTATGTTTTAATTAGATGTAGATATAAAAAATCAAAAGTTGTTGATTAAAAATCAAAAATTTTATATTCTACAATTTAAGAAATTTTAAAATTAGACTCAATAATAGGCTACCGGTGAATCAAAAAATAAGCAACATTAGTATTTGTAAACAACGTGATTGCATAAATATTGATCTATATTGACTTCTTTTTATATATCATATAAATATACACCAATATTTATACAACCCCACCCACAAACTTTGCTTAGGCACAGGTCAAATACCAGCCCCGGTCATTTAATAATTGGTACCAATACCAAATACCAGCCCTTGGTTATTTAATAATTGGTATGGAAGGTAAACTTTCTAGTTAAATGCTCTTTCCTTGTGCTTTGTAATAAAACCGACTTTAGGGAGTACCTTAACAACCACACACAAAAAAAAATCTCCTTCTTCTTCCCCCCTCCCCCACGCTAACTAGAATCTGAATCTTTCCTTGAATTTATAGGCCTATTTCAAGACAAAAAATTTTAGAGAGCGGTGCTAATTGGCAGCTGGGGTAAGTTAGCGAATAGCGTTTATCTTCAGAGACTTTAATCAGAAAATGACAAAAACTACAGAGAGCCTTCCTTATTAACCATTTCATCTTTCACTGTAGTATTTTTAGGATTCGCGAATGTGCACGGGAGATATTGCAATTTATGTGTTTTTTAGACAAAAATGTAAATTTTTGAACATCGATTCCTTTTTACTTTACAAAGAAAATATTTAGTTATATGAAAAAAAAATTATTTTAAAAGTTGCGGTAACAATTGGTTAACTATTTCCAGTCAGTAAGTTTCTATAAATTTTGCTCTTAATAGTACATTAATAATCATTTTTATAGTTTGCGTCACGTTACCCTGGTTTTTCTTTGTTTTTTTAAACTGTTTTTATAACTTTTTTAGTTTATTTTATTTCATGTTTTAAATAATTCTCATATAATTTTAATTTATTCTTTTAGTAATGAGAATGAGTTAGAATTTATTTTTTTTGGACTGGAAATGCCATGTCATGATGTTTAAAAAAATGCGTGTAGAATAATTCATACGCATAATTTGCTTCTTGCAATTGTAATATAAGATTTCAATCAATTTTTCCTGTTAAAAATTTTTAAATATATTTTAAGGAGTTTTCATTGATCTGACGTATAAAGATTGTAAATTTTGATGGACTTAATGATATCAGTAATTAAGAATATCTGAAACTGAACTGTTATGTCGATTTTAATTATTCCAATTTCTAATAGGGGAAGGTTGCGTAAGATGAACAGGTTCCTAAAATGGTATAACCTCTTTTATGAGTAGGTTAATGATATTTTCGCGAACTTTTTTGGTTAAAGATATTCATACAAGTTCGGCGGTGTTATTTATTTTAATTTCTTGGTTGTATCGTTAATATTCTTTAATTGTTTTACTGTTAAAAAAAATTTACCATCCCCTTTATAATTTTTTATTATTAAATATTTTGTAATTACGTCAGAACAAAACAAGATCATTAAAAGGTTATTACATCCTCAATATTTTATGTTTATCTACTACTAATTCCATGGGTTACTTGAGATAATACATAAGCTGTTGTCATGTTATTTAAATTATGATAGTATTTGATGGAGTTGCTTAAGATGAAATGTTTTTAGACGCTCAAAATGAAATGCGGCTTTTTATTAAGGAAAGCGCGTTTTTTTAAAGTTATTCTCCACGGAGCTTTATTTTGGTATTTTAAGAGCGAAATTTTTTTCAAAAAATAGTATGGTAAACTTTTTTAGAGATTGGAAAGGTTTATTATTGTTTTTTTTAAGGTTGAGATAATTACATTTTACTTAAGTATTGTTCTTGGAGGTACAATTTCATTTAATTTTTTTTGTGATTACTTTTTTGTTATTTTGAGTTTTTTTGAATTCCATTAAAAAAAGCTTATCTTAGGAAACTGGTTTCCTAAGTTGAAATGATTGGGTGTTTTGAAGAAAACGCAATTTTTAGTATATTGATTTTTTTTAATGAATTATTTATTTATATTCTTTGAGAGGAAAGATGAAATTATCGTTATTTTCAAAATTATATATATATTTTTATAATCTTTTGGGTTGGTACATGATTCAATAAAATTAAGTTAAAATCACCTTGGAAGTGAAAATACTTATTTTTTATGTTTCATTTAAAAATCATTAAAACTTTTTTTAAATTGCTGGTTGTCTATAAATAAAATTGTCAGCTGGTTGTCTATAAATAAAATTACTATTTCAATGCAAAACAACCCACAACCTGTTTCATTAATAATAAGGTGATTAAGTAGAATTAATGGTAATAGATTTGTAAACAATAATACTTATAAAGTTCGTGAAAGTTGGGGTTAGGGGCGCAATTAACATTAAAAAGGAAAAGCTCCTCAATTTTATATGATACAGCAAAATAGATGAAAATGATCTATTTATTAAATTATTTATCACGTGCAACTTGATTAATCATTTTTTTAACGTGATTAGTCATCTTTTAATAGCACACATTCATTTAAAAAATAGTTAGTACGCGATTGTATCTTAAACAGTTTTATGGATATACTTTTCTATGGTGATGTTTAATTGTGATTGAGTCTTTGCAGACTGGAAAATGATAATTCCGCTGTTGCAATCATAAATTTTTTTTTAAAACCGTTTATGAAATGGGGAGGGGCGCTAAATGCAGTCTCCGCTCCCTCAATGTTTTAGTAAAGGGGACTATCGCCCCCTCCAACCCCTGTTCCTACGCCAGTGCTTAAAGGATCATCAACGTTGGTTTAAAGAGTATGGTGAACTAATATGTAACTACTTAGTTCATAATTTGAACTTCTTTTAGGCACGTTTCCATAAGACTATATATATATATATATATATTTAAGACAATATATATATATATATTTTTCTTTATTGCAATCTTTATATGAATAAAACGTAAGACATAAAAAAGAAATAAGTAATATTTACAATAAAGATTTCTTTAACAATAGAAGATTAATTAAAAATTAGGAATTAAGAATGCGGAAACTTGAAGAAGTTCGTGAGGTCTGGTCGATGAGAACCGCTGGAATTAAAACGCTTTAAATAAATGTTCGTCTGAATTAATTGTATTTTCATTTTTATTGATTTTTTGTAAATGTTAATTTGCTTTTGAATTGTATCTGTTTCGATAAATAAATATATAAACCGTTGCAATACTTTATCAAAGAGTAATTAAAAATAATTAATATACCTTAGTTTAACTATTGATGTGGTTTGATGACGTCATAGTGTTTTAGTGATGTTGATATAAATCCGTCTTCATTGATTAGATTAAAAATATATATTTATTTATTTATTTTTATTTTTATTTATTTATTTGTTTTATTTGACCTATAATATTATATACAAAAAGATTAATAATAATATACGGGCAGGACTTCAAGAAGATCGTAATGACCTTATCACGAAGCCCTTAACAAAACTCTACTTGCTTCTAGAAAAAAAACATCTATATACTATATAAAACTAATATATACCGAAAATATATTATCACAAAATATATCATAAATTTAATACTCTACATAGTTCAGAAGTGAAACTAAAAGTAAAACATAACAAATCAATATGCAGTATAGCAAAGGAAAATATTTAAAAAAAAATAAAAAAAAATCAAGAATACTTTTTGTCGAAAAATGATTTTTTAATAGAAAAAAGGAATAGGTTAATTCAGATAAAAAAACAAAGTTACGCCGTATTATTTCATTCCAGAGAAAAGGTCGACAATAGGATATGCAAAATTGAGCTTATATATATATATATATATATATATTATATATATATATATATATATATATATATTATATATATATATATATATATATATATATATATATATATATATATATATGTATATGTATATATATATATGTATATATATATATATATATATGTATATATATATATATATATATATGTATATATATATATATGTATATATATATATATATGTATATATATATATATATATGTATATATATATATATATATGTATATATATATATATATGTATATATATATATATATATATATATATATATATATATATATATATATATATATATATATATATATATATATATATATATATATATATATATATATATATATATATATAATGAAATAAAGTGGTCCAAGTATGGGTCCTTGTGGAACACCATATGTTATATTCATTAATGTTTGAGATTAGGAATCTTGTTAAAAAGAAATTGTTTTCGGTTAGAGAAATAACTTTTGAGCCAGCTCAGAGTTATACTTGCTATACCATAACATTGAAGTTTTTTAAGCAAAATATTATGATTGACCGTGTCAGCTTTTGACAAATCAATGAAAGCACCAAGTGTAAATTTTAGTTTTTTAAAAGATTCGTTAATACAACATGTTAATTGAAGAACATTATGTTTGGTTGAGTTCTTTTTTTTAAACCGAACTGATTTTCATAAAGGAGTTTATTGGTAACTAGGTATGTGTTATACATTATTATTTCTAATATTTCTGAAAAAACTGAAAGAACAGAAATAGGTTTGTAATTTGTTATATTAGTCGAATCTCCTGTCTAAAAAAAAAAGGAACTACTTTTGCTATTTTCCGAAAGTCTGGGAAAAAACCTTGTTTAATGGATGATTTAAAGATTTTGTAAAGAATATCTTTCATGACGTCATAAGAGTATATCGCAATATTTTCATTTATATCGTCAGGTCCTACTGATTTTTTTCTTTTTAACAATCTAAAAGCTATATCAAATTACTCAATTATAATTTTAGGTTATCAAAATTTTTGTTCTTCGAATGTTTAAGCTAAAAATTAAAAAACCTTTTGTTGCTTTTTTTTGACAAAGAATTTGAGTTGAGAATCACGGACTGAATAGTACTTACATTTTTTTGACAAAGCATCTTATATATGAAAGTTAGGGAATTAAATTGTTAACACAATGCGCAACAAAAGATTGATGGATAGCAGTTGAGTAAGATACACTGGCACTTTTTCTATTTTAAACCAAAAAAGTAAAAAATATTATTTGCTATTACTCTCTTGGATGCTTATAAACTTTTTTTATCTGGCACCACTTAAGTGTTGTAATTTTACCAATTTATCGGTCTTTTGATTAAAATCAGTCGTTTTTTTCTAGGTCTTATTGTTCCCTTTAAAACTTTACATAATGTGTCACTTGTCTAGTAGGGGTAAGTTTGAAAGAAAGCTTTGGAGAAAAAAAAACTGAACTCTCAAACACAAAGAAACAACTTTGATGAGAAATAATTTAACGGTACATTGTTTATATGCACTTTTAAAACTAATAATTTTTAAACCTGGTTTCAAAGTTCAATATAGTTATATAAATAAGTATTTTTATATTTTATGTCACTTTTTTACAATTTAATTTTTTCTATTCTCTTAATTACGTCATTAAAGTGAAGGAAATATATAAATTATAGGTTATAAATTATACACAAATTTACTGTTAGTGAAAGTTTTATTGATGATTTACCAAAGTTTCGTACTATGCATATTCATATAATTGTTAATTGCTCACCTTACACCACACTATTGGTCGCTGGGGCAGGTTGAGCAGCTCCGCAAACTTTAGGCAATATCTTCTCAAAAAAATTAAATAAATACAGCTGAATAGCTCAGTTGATTAAATCGTCAAATAAAATGAAAAAACCTGGACTGTTGTGAAAAACGAGTTCAAATCCGGCCGCCGATCCAGACACCGCCAACTCAGCGCTTGAGTAGTACTTCGGTATGCAAAAATGTTGCTCAATAACGGACGCTACTTTGGACTTTATAACTGTTTGTAGCTCTACCGATGCTAAGCCAACTATATCTACGGATAAAAGAAAATTGTATAAAAATAATAATTCTTATAAAAAGAAAAATTAATAGCGAATAAAAAATGAGTTGTATAATTTCTGGCTATATAATAAATATAAGTGTAAAGCCAATTAAACAATTAAGTAAAACGGTTTTAGTTTATGCATTCGCTTGTATTTTTTATTTATGCATTCGCTCATATTTTTATTTATAGGGCATTGTTAAATGTTACCTTGGGTTATAATATATTTAAATTACAAAATTATAAGATATATTTGTAATGAAATAAATAGATATATTTATAAATATATATTTTTCAGCAACTAGCTTCTTGTCGCGGTGCAAGCTGCAATCAGGAAACTCACTGTTACCCATTAATGAAATCACGAAGAAAGAGTTCTGGGGTTAATATTTTACATCTACCCCAACCTCAAGCATTGGAAAAGCTAAGAGTGAGACGTCTCAGCAACACTGTAGATAGTTCCAATAAAATAAACTTAAGTCATGCTGAACCAATCATAAGAGAAATAAACAACAATAACAAGTTAGTTGTTGATGCCGGCAATACCTGCAACGAAATTACAACAGAGAATCGTTTTCAAGAGAATAAAAATACAAACTACAAAGATGCCTCCGACAAGTCCGATAGTTTTCGGAGAAACAGCGATTTGCTCAGTAAAAGTCTTCGATCACAGTCTGGAATTGAACGTCATAAATTACATGTTGTACGAATAATGTCTTTTGATAATACTATACAAAAAACTAATGAATTTCTACAGAAAGTTCAGTCCTCTAGAAATAAATAGTTATTTTAGAAAATATATTAACTTAAGTTTTTTTGTAAAAGTTATATTATATTAATTGTTGTTAGAGAAACTGTGTAGTTGTCTTAATTGTTAAACTATTTTAAATTAAATTTATAAAAATATATTTAAATTATGTTATTCACAATTTTTTTGAGCTTATAAACAAGTTTTTAAACTAGAAATCGTATTTTGTTTTGGTTTTTTCGAATATCTCGATTTGTTTTATCGTTATTTTTCATTATGTGTTGTCATTTCCACTGGCGTTAAAAAAGGGAGGGGCGGAGGGGGAGACAGCCCTCCCAACTATCGGAAAACTTCTGTTTTTTCTATTCAAATTTTGATTCTGGATGCTTTAACCCATACTAATTACCGTTTTAGACCTCTTCGACTTTCTTGACTTTCCTACGCCACTGATCGTTTCATTTGCAAAATATTTTCAAAAAAATACAAGCAAACAACTTTAGATGGAGAAAACATCAACATTTAATCCCCGCCACATTCTTGGAAGTAACGTACTCAATAGTTTTTAAACGCAACGCAACGCAAGCAACAGTCTTGTTTGGCTTTTTGTTCAGCTTTTGTTTATAAGTTAAAAGGTTAAGAGAGAGTTGTAAAAACAACTTTTTTTTAAAAAAAAAAGCCACCACCATTGTAATAGCCCTTTTGGCTTTGCGGAAGGAAAGACGCACGATGCATAAGGTCTCGCAGTACATCCTTAGAAATTATTTTACTTATTTATTAGGTCAAAACTTTCTCGTTGTAAAAAAGTGAAGATTAACTTTTTTTACAGGAGATCTAAGAAAAAACTACTTATTTTAAGCAAGAGAAATTTTGTTGTTCGAGATAAATATCTTAGATTGCTAATATGGCGGGTTAAAGATGGCGTCTTAGTTGAGCACGTGTCTAAAAATCTGTATATTCTATGATATATTTCGTTCATTGTGAATTGTACTTTAAAAAATATGGCTGTAACAGTATCAGAAATAAAGAAAATGCTTACTCAAATGTTCAATGAATACAAAAAGAAATTGAAAAAATACTATAACAACAAGAAAAAAACTTTGTTGACATTCTGAGTTCTAATTTGAAAATAATAAACGATCGATTGGGATTGATTGAAAACAAATCTGCTGATAACGTAAACAAAATAAACAAACTAGAAAAAGAATTAAATGAGTTAAAGGAAAGTCTAAACTTTCACAAACATTTAATTGAACAGAAAGTCAAAACGGTAAGTAACAACATAGAGAAAGAAAGCTCAATACAAAATATTAATGAAAAAAAATAGAATTCTAGAAGATCGCTCGAGACGAAATAATCTTAGAATTGAAGGGATTACGGAAAATGTTAACAAAACCTGGGAGGAGACCGAAGATAAAGTTTTAAAATTATTTTCTAAAACTTTGGAAGTGAATGAAGTAGAGATCGAACGAGCTCATCGCATAGGCTATGAAAAAGACGGAAAAACAAGAACTATAATTCTAAAATTACTAAGATTCAAAGACAAAGCAAAAATCCTGAAAGAAGCCCACCGACTCAAAGGACTAAACATTTATATAAACGAAGATTACTCTCGAGAGACTTCAATTATAAGAAAGAAGCTATTTTCAGAGGCGAAGCTAAGGAGAGAAAACGGAGAGAACGTTGATGTAAGGTACGACAAAATTATTAAATTAAAAAGTGATTTTACCAAGAAAGATCTAAGTAAGTAAAAATGTTAGTTTTCGTTTTCAAAAATATATTTTTATATATTTTTTTCTAATTATACAAATGGCTGACAAAGCAAATAAAACAAAAACTTTTAAATTTTTTGATAAAAATAATTCTCTGCTTCTGAATAAAAATAAAGATCCTGATATAAATCTTTTTAATGAAATTGAAATTGACTCTTGTTACTTTAATGTTGAGGAAGTATCTTGTTATTTTAACTTAACGCAACCATTATTTTCGACATTAACCCTAAACATTAGAAATCTTAAAAAAAACTTTGAAAATCTTAAAGCTATGTTACAAAACATAAACCATGGATTTAAGGTAATATGTCTTTTAGAAACTTGGTGTCAAATTGAAGATTCCGTTAACTCGAATCTTCAATTACCAGGATACAAATCAATTCATCAGACCCGAGTTGGTGGCAAAGAAGGCGGAATATGTTTTTTAATTCATAATTCAATTTATTTTCAAATATCAGAAAATCTTAGTAACAATAATGCGGATTGTGAGAACTACTTGAGAACTACTAATCCATAACAAAAAAAAATGTTTATTTAACCGCTATGTATAGACCACCTAGCGGAAATATAACAACGTTTGAAAACTATTTAGAACAGTATTTAGCAAGTTAGAAATAAACAGGTATACTTAATGGGGGATTTTAATATAATCCTTTTAAACGTAAAAAATAATAATAAAGTCGAACGCTTTCTAAATCTCCTCTATCAGCCCAATATTTTATCATTAATTAATAAACCAACTCGCATAACTCTTCAAACTGAAACTCTCATAGATAATATTTTTACAAATAATTTCTCGAAATATCACACTCAAAGCGGAATCATAAGAACTGTTATAAGTGATCATTTCCCAATATTTTTCACATCAAATTCAATATTCAAAGAAAAATCAATCAAGGAATCAAACAAATTAATAAGCGTTACAAAAAGAAAAATACCATTAAAACGTTTTGTAACTATCTATCACTGGTAGATTGGGATCAACTCATCAACTACAAAGACGCAAATAACGCTTATGAATATTTTAACTTAGAGTTCAGTTATGTGTATGAAAAAGCATTTCCTAAGCAAGAAAAAATAATTAAATTTAAAATCTTACAAAGTCCATGGATTTCCAAAGGTCTTATCAAATCTTCCAAAAAAAGCAAAGACTCTATGAAAAATATTTAAAAAAAAAACTTATGCATTCGCTCACATTTTTATTTATAGGGCATTGTTAAATGTTACCTTGGGTTTGTAAAAAAACAAATACAAAAGTTATAAAAACCTTTTTAAAAAAAATAAAAAAACAAGCAAAAAAAAATTATTATTCTAATTTATTGCAAAACAATATTGGAAATAACAAAAAAAAATGGAATGTTATAAAAGAGATAATAGGAAAAAAAAAGATTGGTTCTGGTAATACACTGCCTAAACGTTTAAATACTAATGATAAAAACATATTTATCAGTGATAAAAAAGAAATTGCTGTAAGCTTTAACAATTATTTTATAAACATTGGAAAGACGTTAGCAAATAAAATAACTTCAAGTAAAAAACTATTTAAATCATACTTAAAAAAAGTAGACTTCACAATGGATGAGTATAACTTATCTCCTGATGAGCTCTGGAATGCTTTTGAAACCATACAGCCCAGAAAAAGTCCTGGTCTTGATGAAATAGACTCTAAAGTTGTTAAAAATGTTTATGACGTTATTGAGTATCCCTTAATGTATATCTTTAATCTCTCATTAAAAAATGGAGTTTTTCCTGACCGCCTAAAACTAGCACGCGTAGTTCCAGTATTTAAAAGCGGAGATGACTCGACTTTATCTAACTGTAGACCCATCTCTATACTCCCGTGCTTTTCAAAAATATTGGAGCGCATAATGTATAATAGACTCTTTACATACCTTCAAAATCATAACATCCTCTACAATAACCAATACGGATTTAAAAAAGGCCACTCAACTGAACATGCTGTAATAAAACTAGTTAACAAAATTTTAAGTGGCTTCGACAAAAATAAACACACCCTTAGAGTATTTATCAACTTTTCAAAGGCTTTCGATACTGTGGATCACGAAATCCTTCTATACAAACTTCATAATTATGGTATACAAAATAAAAATTTAAAATGGTTCAGTTACTATTTAAAAAACCGTAAACAAGCCTTATCTTTCAATAAAACATAAACTCCCCTTGAAATCATCACATGTGGTGTTCCCCAGTGGTCTATTCTAGGACTTCTGCTTTTCCTAATCTTTATAAATGACACATTTTTATCTTCCAGTATATTGAACTTCATTCTTTTTGCAGATGACACTCATGCTTTCTATACCCACTCTTGAAGAGTTGAGTGATTGGTTCAAAGCCAACAAACTTTCTGTCAACATTGAGAAAAGTAATTATATCTTTTTCACTAAACCTTACAGTTCAGACAAACTACCATTAAAACTTCCAGATATTCTATTAGACAAAGTTAGACTAAATCGAGCGTTCTCAAATAAATTTCTCGGGGTATTAATAGATGAACATATTAGCTGGAAAGACCACATTAACATATTAAAAAACAAAATATCTAATAATATTGGAATTATGCATAAAACCAGATATATTTTAAATAATGCATGCCTTAAAAGTTTTTATTTTGCATATATACATAGCTATATTAACTACTGCAATATTGCCTGGGCTAGTACCTACCAATCAAAACTAGATTTAATATATAAAAAACGAAAACAAGCGTGTCGTTTATTAACAAACGCAAATAAAAATTCCAATTCTAAACATTTAATGTGGAAACTGAGAGTTCTTAATATCTACGAACAAAATATATATTGCATTCATTCATTCATGTTTAAACTCAAAAATGATCTGGTCCCTGAAGTCTTTCATAACTATTTTTACCTTATCAATCACAAATATCAAACAAAATACTCTATCAAGAATTACTATATTCCAAAAACTTCTTTATGCAATCTAAATTCTCAATATCCAGCAGAGGACCCCAATTGTGGAACTCATTTCTAACAAACAAAATAAAAACGATAAACTCATTCCAACATTTTAAACGCGTTGTAAAGCAACAGCTACTAGACCTCAACATTAATGAAACAATCTCTTATTTTTAAAATTTTTCCTTTTTCAAGGAATTGTAAAAAAAAAAAAAAAAAATAATAATTTTATTATATTTGTATTTGGTTTATATTTTGTCAACGACAAAAATGGGGCAAGATGATAAGACTATTGTCTTCTACTTGCTCCAGTCATATATTTTACGGTAAAATGATGTACAAATTTATATTAATAATGACGAATAAAAATA